CCACATCGAGAGAGTTCGCAACAATCACGATAGAGTTCCGCAAGAACTATTCAGTTTCTGTTTAGGATTCTTTGGTTGAACCAGTGCGTTTTGAAAGCGCGAAGGTACGTCTAAACACTCATCAAGAGATCTATACGTACAGCAATTCATCATGTCCTATCCACCACCACCAGGTATCAAATCCACTCCTTCGCCACATCCCTCCTTGCCCGCTCGACCACCTCCATCCACAAATCCACAAGCCGGCTTTAAACCTGTCTTCAGCAATAACAATAATGGCCCCTCGAGACCTCCTGCAACAGGAGGATATGGCGGCTTTACTGGTTTCGCTCCCAGATCGGTAGCTGCTCCAGTACAACCAAGCTATCAAGGCTTTCAACAACCTCCTACTGCTTATCAACAACCTCAACCATATAATCCATATCCTACTGCACCACAGCAAGAAGCTGCATATGGAGCCGCACCACAAATTCGAAATCCTTTTGCGCCACCGACAGCATCTGCAGGACGTAGTATGGGTGGATTTGATGAAGATCCAGAGATGGCAGCACAGATAGCACAATGGCAAAGCGCATACGCTGGAAAGGATGCAAATGCAACTACCGCCTCTAATAATGGTTATACTGGAGCCGTTCGGAAGTATCCAACAACTGGAGAAGCTTCAACATCAGCATCGAATGCGAATGCGACGCCATTAGGTAGAACCGAGGCTGGACCTAGTATGACATCACAAGCAATCACAAACGCCGCGCATAATGATACAGGTGTCGCAGCAATTGTATCAGATTCTAAGACCAATCAAAAGACGGTTGTACGAACAGGTGGCGGTTCACAATGGACAGATTCTTCCCTTCTTGAATGGGATCCTTCTCATTTTCGCCTTTTCGTTGGTAATCTTGCTGGTGAAGTTACTGATGAATCTTTACACAAGGCATTTTCTCGTTGGACATCATTACAAAAAGCACGAGTTATTCGAGACAAACGTACTACGAAAAGTAAAGGATATGGATTTGTCAGTTTTAGTGATGGAGATGATTTCTTTCAAGCTGCTAGGGACATGCAAGGAAAATACATCGGTAGTCATCCTGTTCTTTTGAGAAGAAGTACTACTGAGATCAAGGCTGTTACACCTAAGGACAACAAACATGGAAAGAATAATAAAAATAAGGGTAAAGGTGGTAATAGGAATGATGGAGGACAAGGTAACAAAGACAGGACTAGAGCTGGCATTCAAAAGACAGGAAGCAAAACCAAGGGTGGCTTGAAGGTCTTAGGATAATAGTCAAAGTGAGAGTTGATATCAAGTCTGCGGGTATTACGAGTAGGCCAGTCGAAGTTTATTGGGAGAGGAAGAAAGGACAAAATAGAAGGCGTGAGAGAGAAGTAATGATCGTCGGCGCATGTCAAAATACACAAACCGAGGTATGGCTTTGGATTTATTAATGGCAAACTTTCGATCGAGCTGATCCTTGAGATACAACGCCACGATAATGTGTATGGTCGAAATTACCCACAGCAGTACTTATTCTTTACTTGATAGATAAGCATAACAATTGTTTGCATTTATAATTCTATTAAACTGTATCTACATACAAGTCATACCTAGTCTTCAGTGAAATGATTCGTGTGGCAATGATTATCGGTTCGTATGGGGATAGTAGTAAGAAAATTGCTTCCCGTTAATTTGGTCAGCCAATTCTGTACAGAGCACATCCCGCCTCGAGCCCGCGTGCCTGCCAAACCCCCCTTCCCCATACTATCCTAAATTATCAAGATTTATTAATTCAGCCTTGATGATACCTAAATTGCAAGACCTTTTACTGGCTCGCAAGGACAATTCGGAAACATACCCCTTGTTCCATCGCATCGTGTTTCAGGCAAAACCAAACAGTTTTGATGTTGTCAAAGCTGTAAACATGTCAAAATGGCATGTGAAACCGAGATGAGAGATGAAAGATGAACTTGATCGTATTTGATTGATGTATTGCCAGGTTGGTGTGCTTTCGTTGTTGAATGTCCAGCGGATAGTCTGGTAGATTGTTTCTGAAGTGTTTATAAAGTGTTGATAGTACGGTTTTGTATGGTTAAGCGATTTGAGGTTGCGGGACAGAAGATATATATAAGGCTTCCTTTATTCTATTCTTGTGAACTACATGCATTTCTATTTTGCATTATTACGTTCTGATATATTTGATTGAGAGAAATTGAAAAGATGGGGAAAACAGAATTGTTGGCTTGTTCAGCTCTTGCTGCAATTTTGGTTTATGTATTTCCGCAATACTTTATTGTCGACCGGGTTTCGAGATCAGCGATTCGTTTCCTTCTAATTGATGTTTCATTATTTTCTTTCTGGCGAATGTTCATATATCCTTTTTTCTTTAGTCCTCTTCGTCATTTACCTGGTCCAGTGGTGAGTTTTTTCGACTCTTCAGAACTTCCTTCGACCATTAACATTAATATGTAGTCCTACAATTTCCTCTGGGGCAATGGCACAGCACAGTTTACCAAACCACCTGGACATCAAATCAAAGAGTTCGTTAAAGATGTACCAAATGATGGGGTGATCCGCATTCGATCCTTTGGCAATATCGAAAGACTTATTCCAACATCTCCTCAAGTATTGAAAAGTATCCTAGCGGATAATTCATACGATTATGAAAAACCATATGGAGTTCGGAAATTTCTAAGTTTGATTTTGGGCGAGGGTCCTATTATGTCAGAAGGTTCTCTTCACAAGTTTCAGCGCAAACATTTACTTCCCGCTTTTCAAGTCAAACATATCAGAGGATTATACCCCGTATTCTGGTCCAAAGCTCTTGGTCTTGTCGAAGGGATTTCTCAAGAAATAACCGAAACAAGTACATTGGAAAAAAGAAACGAATCACATATCGAATTTAGCGAATGGGCTACTCGTGTTACATTAGATATTATTGGTGTAGCTGGTGTTGGTAGAGATTTCGGCGCTCTTCGAAATCCAGATGATCCTCTCGTACGAGATTACAACGAACTTCTCGAACCTACCTTTAGTAAAGGTATTTACTTCGCAGCCAATATCTTCGGTCCTCAAGATCTCATTCAGAAGCTGCCTTTTAAATATAGCAAAGTAATTGCTGAAACGACCGGGAATCTCCGAACCTTCTGTCGCGAAGTCATCGACAAAAAACGACAAGCAGTAAGCGAAGGTAAAACAGTCGACGGAATGGATATTCTCAGTATCCTCGTCCGATCCAACGATTTCAGCAATGAAGATCTCGAAGACCAACTCCTTACCTTCTTAGCCGCCGGTCACGAAACCACATCCTCAGCACTCACATGGGCCATCTATCTCCTCGCCATCTATCCCGAATGGCAAACTAAACTCCGTCAAGAAATCCACGCTGCGATTCCTTCTCCCAGCGATCCCAACTCCCCACAACCAGATCACACAATCATTGATTCTCTCCCCATTCTCAACGCCATGATCCAAGAAACTCTTCGTCTCTACCCCACTGTTCCTATCTCCGTACGCAAAACCACCCGCGCTACAAGCATCACACTCCCTAACTCCGCGCCCATCTCCCTTCCCCTCGGAACACGCGTGCTTATTTCCCCTCTTGCTATCAACCGCTCTTCACTTCTCTGGGGCCCCAAAGCCGATGAATGGTCCCCGGAGCGATGGCTTCAAGACGGATGTGCGAATACTGGGGGCGCGGAGAGTAATTTTGCGAATATGACGTTTTTCCATGGTGAGAGGAGTTGTATTGGGAGAGGGTTTGCGATAAGTGAGTTTAAGTGTTTGTTGGCGGGGACGGTGGGAGGGTTGGAGTGGGAAATGTGGGATAAGGAGGAGGTGGTGAAGGTGGGTGGGGTGGTGACGACGAAGCCGGTGGGCGGGATGAATGTTAGGATGAAGGTTGTGGGGTGGTAGGAGTCTTTGTGGAGGAGTATGGAGCAGCGGGAGGTTGTTTGATCCTTGGGATGTCGTTGAATTTAAGGGTGTTAATCTGGATTTCCCGCAGTATTAGGCGTTGGGTGCAGGTGCAAACCATTAATAGTTAAGATAATGAATACCTTACAACTCTAAAATCTACAAGCGATAGAAATAAACCAAGTAAGCGGAAATATGATCTCATCACAAATCCCACACCTAGCAAAGTACTCAGCCATAAGGATCCGCCAAAGCCCCCTCCCAAAATCTACATCCGCCTCATCCACACATACCATCTGGCATCATCAGCAGCCCATCTCGGATGGCTAGGGGAAAATGGCAGGCTGACTGGGAGGAGATGGCAATACTGAAGGGGAGGTAATAGGAACGCTGATCTGGAGTTGACGACAATGCGGACGAAAACGCTGGTCTGGAGTCACTGGCAGCTATGAAGCTGAAATTGACTGCTACGCAACGCATCATGTAGTGCGAAAAGCTCTGTACCTACAAATCGGAGTCAATTCTTGCAAGATGCGACATGAATTATTCTTCAAGTTTCCCCCTATCTTAATCCTCGAAGCGATGCTTTAACTCTCTCGATATCGATATCCTATAGCCACTTATTGACAACCATTCAAACTCTCGAGCCGGTATCAGAATAGCAATATCCAACATGAATCTCTCCCAAACTTCACTTTCACTTTCCTTATCATCGTCCTCAACATAATCAATCATACTCGCCTATCTAAATTCACTACACAATACCAAAAGTCAACTATGAATCTAAGCGAATGGAATTTTGGTACGCTCAGTAAGGTACTGCAGACACCTTGTGGTTCTCTCCAAGCCTCTTCTTATGTGCCATAGCTTTAATTGAAAAGGTTTTATCTTCTTCTTTCCCTTAAAAGTAAATCTGTTTCTAGAAAATAACTCACAACCACTACGACCTGGATTACCACCATCAGATCGGCAACTACAACACGATTACCATCACCAAACCGACAACTACAACTAACAACCACGATCAATAAACACAACTAATTAACGATACACGATAGCGTAATAGCAATTCATACATACTTTCACAATTACAATGCTTTCTTTTCAATTACACCCAATCGCTCCTGCGACTCCCATCAAGATGCACGAAAAGATTGTTCATAAAACACTCAAAGGTAGAGTTACGAAGAACCTAAAAAAGACGGTAACCTCCCCTAAGAAACAGGTTTCTAGCACAGATGAGATGATGTCTAGCCCAAATTCAACTTCCGCAACCTCTCCTAATCGTCTGAATCGTCTCATTCATTACCCCTTGAGCAAACAACAAGCTGCTTTGCTTCGAGGAATAAAGACTTCCTTGGAAAAGTCTAGCAATCCCGTTGAACGCGTTGAACCCAAGCAAGACCAAATGGATCTTGATAAACGACCAAATATTTTAACAAGACGAATTCCTCTGGCGGAATCAAGACCAAAAGGTCAGAAAAGTCAGAAAAGCTAGTATTCAACTCAAAATTCGCCAAAGAAACTAGCTTTGGCGGAGTTGTCAAGAACAAGAAAGAGGCAAAGCCGGTGCTCCTCGAGAATTTTCCAAAATGTCCAAAGTCTCCTCTTGCTATCTCAGAAAATCGACTCTTACAACGTCCAAACAGCAAGGGTCTTCTTGCCTTGGGTCGAGAGGTAGTAAAATTTGGGGTTGGGAATGTTTTGAGATCCCTTGAAAGCGATGCCATGGATACTGTTAGTATATACTCTTGTGTGCCCTATAAGCTCCTCGTTATATCTCTCGGCTATGTAATTGACTTGCTGTCATTCCTCTTTCGAAATGTATTATCCATCCAGATACAATAAACTAACGATCCAATCAGAGAGAAGATTATGACTGGAACTACGATGGATTCAATGGATATCTCTTGGAAGAGCATAATGCTAAATGTGTACAATTCCTAGAGATGGATTTGGAACCCGAGACCTTGATACTTTATTACAAGGGAGAAGTCAATGAATATGGTATTGCTTGAGGTACCATAACCTGATGTTTTGGCACAAAATTGAAACTTTGGGAGGACTCGTTTGTTGTCCCCTTGGGATTAGATTGGACTTCATTGGCGAATACCGCAACCAACTTTCTCCTAAGAATATGGTAAGAATAGCTACTCATACCTTTGGCTGAACCAAAGATTTTGAGAGACTGGTGTTCTCTTCAGCGAATTTTTTGTAAACCTCTTACGCGTTCTTTGTTTTACGATTTCACAGGTCTCCTTCCTTGTAAGTTGTATTGAGGTAAGATATCACGTGCTAGATGAGAACTAGTGCCTTTTCAACTTCCATCACCAAATTCGCGTCAGCTAACATTCGCGGCAGATTGATTGTGAACTTCACCTATCAATTATCAATTTCTCTCCCGGTCGAATTTCTTCGAACTTGCGCCAGTTACAAGCTTTTCTTTTCGCGATCTCAATTATTACCTTCACGATGCAGGTAATGCAAGACCCCTCTCAAGGGGTTCATCGCGACTTGGTATGTTTACAACTTCTCCCAACTTCAATTATCAATGATAATCTAATTCATTGCGCAGTTACATCACGTTCATCTTCTCTCTACATATCGATTTCCAATTACACCTACACAATTACATCCGGAAAGAGTCGCAGAATGGCTTTTGAATGGACCAAAAATTACTCGCGATCAAGCTCCGGTTTATTGGACTTACCTGGACCGACCGGTTGATGGCACAGTCTTATTATCATGGCAAACGCCTACATTGGGTCAGGAATTCCCAAGTGATGGCTACGTTTGGGCTCCCGGAGAGACAGCTTTCTCCCTCGAAGTTATGGGCTGCGTGAGTTTATATGAATGAATGCGATTTAGGCGGAATTTGACTGATCTTGTTTGCTTTCGCAGACTCTAGAAATTTATCATTGCAAAATTGGCTATGGTACTGGAGAACCTATCGCATCTCATACTCGTCGCCGATATCGACTTTTACCACCACGAATTCCAAATCAAAACCCTTCACCTGATCCAAATCTATGGATTATACATTATACTCAAGCTCCTCCCGAGGATCGTCTCCCACCACATATGATCCCAATCAATCAGCAAATCCAAACCATTATGAGTACACGACAATACTTACATCAACAAGGTCAACTTATTCACAAGGAGTTTTTACTTCATGATAGAGCAAATTGGGCAAAAATCGATTTCCCTCGTGGTCATCCAAGAGGTGCTCCAATGTATGCAGCAAGCGTTCCACCAAGAGTTCCTCAATCAATGGCATATCCTACTCATCCTCAACCTGGTCCACCATCAAAACGCGCTCGTACAGCAAATGTTGCTCAAGCCGCAGTCGCAAATAATGCTGCAGCAGTTGTCGAAGAAGATGAAGAAGAAAACTCTAGAGGAGATTGGTTTGATCTTACAACACCTAGAGAAATCAGTTATAGCAGATTCCTTGCAAATTATGAGTGGATGGAGGAAGTACTCTCTTCACCCTACGCTATCAATCAAATCGTTCCTACGGACCTCGGACTTGGTCTTCGTGGTGAATTAAGCAGTCTCACTGAAGGCATATTTAATGCACCTCTCAAAGAAACTGAAGAACCAACACTGAATTATGTTGGTCGTCTTGATCCTGGAAAGGCAGATGAGTTCCGTAAAAGAGCTCATGATACTATTGCTCAAACCAACAAGGATATTGAAAAAATGAAAGCTAAGCACGCAAAGCGTCTTGCAAAGTTTCAAAGAGGTTCTCTTATTTCTCAAGCTGAGAAAGAATTACGAACAGCCGTCGATGATCCTTCGGATATTGGTCCCGAATATTGGAGACTTGAAGGTAAAATCGATGAAGAGGAGAATGAAGAATCTGAAATTCCAATCAAGATTCCTTCCAAGGTTGATGATGTTCTTGCAAAGGTTGAAGCTTCTCTCGGTCGTCATGCAGTTGCAATTAGTGAACTTCGACGTATTCAAGATGGCGGATATGAAGAAGTTACTGCACGAGCAAGTCCTCCACCTTCTCAACCTTCTCGAAATAATTCTCAACAAAGTGGTGTTCTTATGAATGACACTGACGTTGGTGATGTTGATATGACCAATTCTACTGCTGGTTTACTGGATCAATTCCACAACAGTAATCCATCTTCATCACACGCCACACCAGTGAGTGCCAGTTATCCAACTCCTGGCCACTTACAACATCCTTCTGCAGCAACTACACCAGCTGGAGCTTTACATATGGCATCTCCACATCTTTCCCAAACTATGGGAACACCACAAATTACGCAACAGAGTCAATCTCCCCCACAACAAGAACAAAATGATGTTCATATGCAAGATTCATCTTCAACAGCAGAAACTCAACAACCTATGACTACAACAGCGCCGCCTACAACCGGTGCTGATACATTAGATTGGGTTGTTATACCACCAGGAGGTGTCTCACCTACAACAGACCCTTCTAACAATAATACAAACAACGATACACCAAAACCTCAAACTCAAGCTCAAAATCAAAATCAACAATCAGCGTTATCAGATTTTTCCAAGCCAACTTCCGATAATAATACATCAGAACAACCAACGTCTTCTACTTCCTTACCTGAACCACAACAGGAACACCAAGAACACCAAGGAGGACAGGAAGAACAAGAACATCATACCGAACTCAACGAAAATGATTTCGATCTTGAAGATTTAGATACAGCTGGTGATGCTTTAGCTTCATATGATGCTGGTGATACCATGGGCGATGATGGACATGGTTTGGGTGATCTCGTCGATGATAGTGCATTTGGCGATGCTTTTCACGGCGTCGATCATCATAATGATCATGTCGATGGAGATAATCACGGCATGTAAGATAAGTAAGGTTGATGTATGTTTTGGCATCGATACCGACTTGACGCATGACAAGAGGAATTTCTTTAGAAATATTTACGCGGACGGGGTTCGCCACAACATAACTAACTACTAACTTTGGTTTCTCAAATCCACATTTTTATAATTGAAAACACTCCTACCTTGTGAGTGAGGAATTTCCTCCTCGGTTTTATCCCTTGGGGCATGAAAGAACCTTGATATTGATAGAAATTGTGGTTTGGATACTGATATGGAATATTGGTTTTTGAGTTGGTGAGCTGGGTTGGTGAATAGATTCTACGGATTCTGAGATTTCCTTTTGATTTGGGTTGAATCGGACTGAACCAAACTCCGGCCGTCTTGTACTGATAAATGGGTGTGTTCATGGAGGGGTTAAAGGGGTTTGGCTCTAAGAATCATCATGGGCTTGGTGGATGTGGTATTGGTCGAACTATGGCGGAATTTTGCTGATAAATGAAGGTTGGTAGAAGGATGAATTCTCTACCGAGAAGATGATTTAAGCGTTCATTTTCAAATTTGTTTGCTTATTAGTTTCCTATTCTGCTTGTATGATTATACTATAAGTTGTATGAACAGAGATTTTTTGTTTTATCTTGCTTATAACATGATCGTATCTCACATTTTGTATGCCAATATTATGTGAAATTGGTGACACCATTCAATGAATTAGTAAAATAAGTATTGTCAACATTTTCAGGAATCCTTAGCCACAAGATGTTCAATAGCAGAACACTTTTGAATGGCAATGGCTCTAGTGTAACTCCCCGAACCAAACACCAAACACCAAAAACGTCAAGACACAATTTCAATCACATGTTATGCCCCTCCAAAACGCGGGGCACATTTTCCAGACACAACACACAAGTCCTCAAAAAAGTTGGCAGCGCGTACCACAATGCCACTTTTAATATCATTTCCTAAATGACTTTTGTTTCAATCACAGAGACATTCTTTTGTAAAATTTGATACGTCTTCATTAATTCCTCATCTCAAGATGGGAGACGATACAAATGCTGCTGTGGCAGATCCATCCGTCATAACCATCGATAACATTTCGACCAGAATGCCTCCTCATGATATCCACGGCGTTGAGAAAGCTACTGATCATTTATATGCTTTGGTTGATATGGGAAGGTATATTTCTACTTCTTATAAACCTTCTACTTCTTTACCTCCTACCTCACAACATAAGAGGATGGAAAAAATGAAGAATCCCCTACTAAATAACCCCTAGCAACGGAATCCGCTTCTCCATCTCCGACCTCTCACCTCCTACGTCCCGTCTCCTTCCGTGTATCTATCGGGATCGCGCTGCCATATCTCTCTACGACGCTCTCCACTCCTCTCTTCCGGCATCTCGAGAATTCTACTTCGATACCGAGACGATATCGCGCGTGGCGGGGTGTCTTGCGGGATTCAAAAAGATATGCGATTCGTATGGTGTTTTGCGGAAGAATATTGGGGTGTTTGCGACGGAGGCGATGCGCACGGCGGAGAATCGGGAGGAGATGACGAGGGCGATTGGGAGGGAGAGTGGGCTGGAAGTGGATATTTTGAGTCCGCAGGTGGAGAGTTTGTTGGGGGCGTTGGGGGCGAGGAGTGGGTTTGGGGGGGTGGAGGGCGTCATGATGGATTTGGGGGGGTGGGAGTGTGCAGATGACGTTTATGGATAGTGGGGATGCTGGGAGGGGGATGGGAGGGGATGTGGAGATGAAGAATGAGGGAGAAAGGTATTGGACGAAAAGTGCGGCGTGTGCGAAAAGTATGCCTTTTGGAGCAGCGAAGATGACGGCGAAAATGAAGGGGGATGATATTCATGATATTCGCACTGATATGCGTTCTCGGTTTCAAGAGATATTTCAGGGATTATACCACAGGTTTCCCAAACTCCAGAAGCATGTGAAGGATGAAGGTGTGACGATATATTTCTGTGGTGGAGGATTTAGAGGTTATGGGAGTATGTTGATGCATACTGATCCCATTAATCCATATCCTATCCCCTCTATCGCCGGCTATACGGTATCCGGAAAACGCTTCAAACAAACGAAAGAGATGCTCAGAGTAAATGCCGAGGAAAAAGAAAAGATTCACGGCATGAGTAAAAGACGTCGGGAACAATTTCCCGCCATCGTCGAAGTGGTCGAGGGAATCATAGCAACCGTTCCTAATATCAAAGAAGTGATATTCTGCGGGGGAGGAAATCGCGAAGGAGCTTTATATCTCAAACTTCCGTCTCAGATACAAGAAACCCATCCTCTTGTTCTTTTCCCCTCTCAATTATCCAACACCCCTACCCAATCCGCCGCGCTTGCCAAAATCCTCGCTTCTGCTCTCCCGGTTGCTCAACCGGGCACTGAAATCTTCACCCCAGAAATTTTAGAATATGTAGGAAAACATATGGGTGATAATATGGCGGATATATCGAATCTCAACGCGGCGCGCGCATTGCATGCGCCTATTTCCGGGGCGATTGCAGGAATGCCCGGGTTGACGCATGGGGTTATCGCGGTATTGGCATTGACGATGTGTGCGCGGTGGGAAAATGATGTGGGGAAGGTAGATCGAGGGGGTGCTGGAGGGGTTGAGAAAGTTGCTGGGAGAGGAAAAGGCGTGGTGGTGTGAGTATATGGGGGCGGTGGCGAGGGTAGTTTGTGGGGTTGTGACGGTTCCTAGGATCAGTGAAGGAGAAGTGGGAGGGCTGAGGTTTGAGGGAACGTGGGAGGAGGGGTTGGGGAAGAAGGGGAAGAAGGAGGGGGTTTGTTTGAGGGTTTTTTGGGAGGGGGAGAGAGAGGTGGATTTGGAAAAGTTGGTGGGGAAGGCGGGGAAGGGGTTGGGGATGAAGAGGAGAGTTGAGATTGCTTGGGGAGAGGGGAGAGGGGTTTGAGTGGGGGTTTGGGTCTAGTTCTAGAGATGTGACAGGGAGAGTGGAGAGGGGAGGGCCGAAGAGGAGAGGAGAGAGCTTAATGGTAGAGAAGAGACGAAGAGACATTCATGTGATATGATAATTATAATGATACCCCAACTCTATACTTACATACACGGCCATACATAGTCATAGTCAAAGACAAAGTTAAATGATATCCAATCAATCAAGCATTCTACAATGTTTATCCAAAGAAACCAAATATCTTCATACGCATTCTATGCTATGCTATGCTGCCACCATCCATCCAACCACCCATCCACATATTACCGCCCAAACCCATCCAAAAATAACCATCTAAGACAAAGTACCTAGGGAGGCACCTAAAATGCATACAAAAAACGCCGGGTATCCCCATCCAATTTCATGCTATCACCTGCTTTCGTTGCATACCCACATCACAGTATGGGGTTCATATTTATATAAATATATCCTCATCTCCTCTTCTATCGCCGTCTCGCTCCTTGTGATATGAAAACAAATATCTATATTGAAAATGCGATTGAACCCAACCCAATTCGTTTCAAGGCTCCCATCGATGCCCCGATCAATCCAACCAACCAACAATAAATCAATCAATCACTCAAATCCTTCTTCGAACTACCACCCACCAACGGCGCAAATTCAGCTCTTGAACTTTCCCCCTTCTTAACTTGGAATCTATCCGGATTAGGTAACACATCACCATCACTCGTAACATAACTACCTTCCTGACCATCCCAATCACTTTCCCCATCTTCACCGTCCGCATCACTCCCACTTTCTCTTGCTCTTTCCGTCGCTTCATGAATTCTATGTGCTTCATTCTGAGCATCTTCTCTCATTTTGCGAATTTTGATCCAATTATATGCTGCGATTGCACCTATTGTAACGAAGAGACCTGAAATGTTGATTGGGGTGAGAGGATCATGGAAAACCAATCCTGCGGCTGAAATGGTCACGACTTCTTTAAAGATACCTGCGATGGAAAGAGTAACGACGGATGTGCGCTGCAGCAGAGCGAACTCAGAAGCTGTCATGCAAAACGCTATGCAACCAGGGAATAGAAGAAGTAAAGGACCAAAAAATGTACCTTTCACTTCGACTAGACTTTTAAGACCCTCCCAAAGGGCGGGAAATCCTTCTACAGGGGTAGCGATGACGAGAAGCGAGACGAACATGATTGGAGCTAGGTAGAAAATCGAGGAGAAAGGGTTTGAAGTTGCTGGATTGCGGAGAAGAAGGATTTGTGTTAAACCCCAACGAAAACCGGAGAAAAATGCGGCAAATATGACAAGGACGAAACCCTTCGTTGAGAAATCCACTTCGCCAAATACCATCATTACCACACCAATTGTCATTGTGAATATGATACCGACTAAACGCCATGAAGGGGTTTCGAGACGAAACACGAATGCAAAAAGGAGTACAAATGCTAGAGCTGAGGATTTGCACATTGCTTTTGTATATATTAGCATGGAAATATTTTGAGATCGAAAGGGAATACAAACTATAAAATGTAAGGGTGATGAATTTCAAAGACATATTTCCAAGACCGATATCCAATCCCGTTGCCATTCCACAAGGTCCAATGCGCGTAAAGTAAAACATTCTCGTCATTAACGGTTTCTTCGAATCCACCTCATGTTGAGCCATATCTGAATCCGATACATGTGTATTATGAGGATTGGATAAGGAATCGTATCGAGGTCGGAATTGAGGAAGAAAGTAAAGGACGAGACTCGCGAGAGAGAATTGTACTAGCATATGCAAACATGTCGTAAATAAAGGGAAATGGAAATTGAGATGTTTTGGGTCAAACATCCATTTGTTATACTATTTGAGAGTTAGAAATGTCTACGAGATGGCAGATGAGAGATGATGAACTTACTATAGATATTGATAGAGAAAATGTATACCAAAGTCCTATCAGAACTCCATTCATTAAACTCTTCCTTACAACATTCCAATCCGCTTCTTTCTTCTCATCTATTGTTACTTTGACATCTCCCGCAATTCTATGCTCCATTGATTGGTGCCGTATCTTCTTCATCTTTCGTTTCGCTTTGGATTTAGCAGTTAACCCCGTTTCCTCATCATCTTGTAAATCACCCTCTTCTGAGAAATGATTCAATTCCATATCATCACTGGTTGATCTCGAATCGTCGTCTGATACTCTATCTCCGGATTTCGAATCCAATCCAATTGTCGATGTTCTCGGTGATCGCTTTGCTCTTGGGGCTCGTAAACTTCCATCTAAATTGTTCATCATGCTACTCCTCCTCCGCCGATGACCTGAAGATTGTGAATCCATGTTTGTATCTATTGGATGTAAATCTGCGAGAGCTGTGGCAGCATCCGGCTCCAACAATTCTTCTTCCGACCGCGCCGATGCTTCAGATGTTGAGGTTCTTGGTAGAGTTTGTATGGGAAAATGTGACTGCGAGGGTTGCTTTGACCGTGATTGTGTTTGGAATTGTAATTGTGATGGCGAAGATTCGAGTGAAGTGTTCGTAGTGGAGATCTGATCGGATCTGAGTAGGGTATTTGCAAACTCCTCCTCTTCTGCGGCTACTTCTTCTTCCCTTTCGAATTGTGAATGATGTTGTGCAGGATTCTCGAATGTCGTCTCTTCTTCTAAGGCCATGGTAATTACTGATACTGAATCAGGGTTGATTTGCTAATGTACTTTCATTATATTGGGCCTGTAACCTTTCGAATGGTTGTAGGAGTGTGGAGATCAGACCCTCAGACTTTAACTATGTTTACTCGCTATACCGTGATGAGTTGCGATTTGATTACGATTTAACTCCGATTAGGGATAATAATAAGTTTGGGATCTTTTGGTAATCTTGGCAAGCATCCAGGGGGTTCGAAAAGAGGGTCAGAGAATAGTACAATGTACAATGTACGAAGTAATGAGTTGTGTTACTTGGTGATGGCGAGGTGTGATCCAAATGCGTGTGAGCTTTGTACTCCGTATGTGTACGGTATGAGGTATGAGGTACACGCGACTGGTTACTTGCTTGACTTGGCGATTGATTTGAGGACGAATGAGATGTTGTGAAACGAAATTAAAGGATTTCATTTTGAGCGGTTAAAATGTGAAATTTCTATACTTTTGGGGTTATTTTCTGATAATTAGCATTCTATATATCATTCACTCATTCACTCACTCACTCACTCACTCATTCATTGCTAGATACATCCCATAGGAGTTGTCATTTTATACCTACCTGCCTAGTACAAGATTGAAGACTCGATCAAGGGGCATATCACGTACATTGGACAACAAAGATATCGCCATCATTGGGTACAATAGCAACGGGAAGGTGGTTATACCTAACCTACCTAACCTACCTATCTATCTATCTATAGCTAGGAGATTGCTTTGACCTCAGTTGTCCACTCGAGTCTCGACTTTGTCACAATATGATATCAGGTTTTGTAGGTTTTATGTTAGGCATGGATCATCGTCTTGAATTATCTACCCGTGCTGGTACCCATCTACATCTATTAAATGGGATTCTCTCTCCCTCCCTCTCATTGGCCGTTAGCACATGAATAAAGTCTTGACCGGACAATGCGGACATCCGTGATGACATTTCTACTTTCTACGATATATTACTCACTCACTCCACTCCACTCCACTCCAGTTCCCACCGAGCGACTAGGTACCTGATAGATTGAACTACTTCAGTCTTCCGCCCCGTTCCGACAGCTATCATCTGAGTTACACCCTAGTTCTACTCCGGAGGTATGTAATGATCTGTCGTTCTAGAAGTAAAAAAGTTCCTGAACATCTTGGGCATCTTGGGAATCTTGAACATCCTTCATGGTTCCTCCCACAGATCGTCCATCCACTCCAGGATGAGGTGAAAACGCACAAATCACAATCATAATCAGCCTTAAGAGCTAAAGTACAATGGACTGACTTCCTGTGGAGTTGACGAATGAAATGTTAACAAATGTCCAGATCCAATAAAGTATCTGATCTCGAATGTTGACAGGATTCACTCCCACTCCCACTCCTACCAAGAGTAATTACTTCTTTCTTGACCGCTTATGTTGTGTCAGACGATGAAGCCAAAAAGTCATCTTCTCGTAGCTATTTGTTTCGCTCCATTAAGCGAACACAACATATCTTCTTACAATTACTTCATGTTGTCCCCCTGACCCTTTTGAGGTTCTTGGTCAAACAAAGATAATTCTGGGAATGGCATACGAGTAGACCTCTGGGTAACGGGACATCTCTATCTCCCTAGTACCTACTCGCGCAGTATCGATTGAGAAATTCAACCATCACATGTCGTCGTGTGGTCGCGTTGTTACTAAAAAGAGAAAGGGACCTGAGTTGGGTTTAGTTTCAACGGAACGTCGGAAATGTCAAGCGTTCCCCTCACATCCCGTCCGTAACGTAGGTAGGTATGACGAAAAGATCGATCGCGTTTTCTCCTCAAGCTTCTCTCGTGGCTATCCGAGATCCCACTCCGATATTGAACCTTCTCTTGAACCAAGCATCGATTGAGCTATGAGCTACCTGTGGCTAGATACTCAATTAATAACAAGGTAACCTACATGCAGCAAATATAATAAGCAAGCCATCATTCTTATGGCTACACAAACAATCTTACATCTGGTGTAAATCCATTGACGTATCACAATTCACCCACTCGTAAGATTGACTTAATTGCAAGAAAATCTCCTTTTCCTGCAATATTTCGTTACACGGTTTTCATTGCTTTGTTCTTTTCTCTTCTTCGGCCTGTTTACTATCTTCTCGTCATCTCTCATCAAAAGGCAACTTGCATCAATCATTTCAACAAACGCGTACCTTGATCGATCAACAATGTCCGTCCCCGGTATTGCGCAGGGCTCTCGTCGCCATGATACAGGATATCTGCCAATTGAGAATTATGGTCTCATTGGGAATATGCGAACTTGTGCGTTGGTAGGTGTTGATGGAAGTATTGATTTTATGTGCTGGTAAGCTATGTTTTGCAATCGAAGGAGTATCTCTACACCTCCCTGAATACTCATCATTTATCAATTCAGGCCAGACTTCGATTCTCCTTCAATATTTGGTCGACTTCTGGATAAAGACAAAGGTTGGTTGGGAGCTTCGTTTGTAATGTCGTCTCAAAATACTGGGGATATTAAGCTACCCCTTATTTACCTATCCCGCAACGAGCTTCATCAGTTACCCCGGATTTGATCTTAGTCCTAAATATTGTATTTACCAATGCTAACTCTGCGAATCCCTCAGGCGGTCACTTTTCCATCTCACCTGCAAAGGGAGTTACTTTCAATACAAAGCAGCAATATCTGCCATCCTCAAATATCTTACAAACTCGATATATCCATGAAGAAGGAGTAGTTGATTTGATTGACTTCTTTCCACGTCCAAACCATAGTCATGTCGCAAAGAAAAGTTCCATGCCTTTCCGGGAGACTACAAAAGTTCAGGGTGAATTGAAGAAATGGCTGGTACGACGAGTCGAATGTATTCGAGGCAGCGTCGATTTAGGTGAGAAAGATCCAGCACACTGCGGTAGTCATCATATCTCACAACTTTGTTTAGATGTGGAGATATTTCCAGCCTTCAATTATGCCCGCGATGAACACGATCTGGAAATCCTCATGCCGGAACATCCTCCAGGAGCACTTGAAAGTAAAACGGTCACTTTCTCCAGTAAAGATTTGAAGCTTCAACTCGATGTGACTATTGATCATGGTGAGGAGAATATGGAATCATGCCCTTCTCTAAAATTCCGCCGAGTAAGACAGGAGGAAGGTAAAGGTGACGGTGTTGTTGCCAATATACGATTACAAGAAGGTCAAGCTATTTCATTTGTCTTGCGTGATGACATCCCGGATCATATCACCAGGGACGTCACTACTGAAGTTTTAGATACACAACAACATGACACTCAAAGATATTGGTCAAATTGGATTGGTCAAAGTAAATATACAGGTCGTTGGAGAGAGGTTGTGGCTAGAAGTTTAATGATTTTGAAGCTATTGACTTATGAACCTACTGGTGCGATCATTGCAGCACCAACGTTTTCTATTCCCGAAGATATTGGAGGAGTTCGGTAAATATCTTGAGATCTTTTATAGGTATCTAGCTAACTTTACAAGCAATTGGGACTATCGATACTCCTGGGTACGAGATTCTAGTTTCACAATTTACATTCTACTCAGGATGGGATTTGTCGATGAGGCAGATGCATACATGAATTTTATCAGTGATCGATTTAGATTGTCAAGGGGTCCAGATGGTGCTTTACCAATCATGTTCACAATTAGAGGCGAGACTGATATTCCGGAACTTGAGCTTAGGTGAGTATCTGGAATCCCTTTTTCTTCACTTCCATAGACTAATCATTCATAGTCACCTCTCTGGTTATAGAGATAGTGGACCTGTTCGTATCGGTAATGGTGCAGCTTTCCATCAACAATTTGATATCTATGGTGAGCTTATGGACGCTATCTACCTCTGGAACAAGTATGGAAAGCCTGTCACTTGGGATCAATGGGTAGCAGTTCGAGAAATTTTAGGTATTTTCTTTCATGTCAATCTTCCACAAGTACATTAGACTAAGATTCTTTAGATTACGTTTTGAAGATTTGGCAAGATACCGATATGTCAATCTGGGAAGTACGAAGCAAGAAACAAAACTATACATATTCCAAAGTCATGCTTTGGGTAGCATTTGACCGTGGGGTACGTCTCTCAGAGAAACGTTGTTTGCCATGTCCGAACAAAACAGAATGGTTGAGGGTTCGTGATGCTATCTACGAAGAAATTATGGAGAAAGGTAATTTGAATCCAGATGTTATAGATCAAAGAAACTTGGGCCAACTGACAAATGTATAGGTTACAACACTGAAAAGCAAATGTTTGTTCAAAGTTATGAATCACGCACTATGCTCGATGCTTCTATTCTCATCGCACCACTAGTCTTCTTCATCTCTCCCAATGATCCTCGTTTTCTAAACACAATCGATAAAATCCTTCTTTCTCCGGAAAAAGGAGGGCTTACAGAAACTGGTCTCGTCTTTCGTTACAACACCGCTACATCTGAAGATGGTGTAGGTGGTCGCGAAGGTGCATTTTCTATGTGTACTTTTTGGTTGGTGGAAGCACTTACCAGAGCTGGTGTTTACGATAGAAAGTATCTGGCAAAGGCAGTTAACATATTTGAAAATATGTTAAGTTTTGGTAATCATTTGAGTATGTTTAGTGAGGAGATTGCGAGGAGTGGTGAACAATTGGGGAATACGCCACAAGCATTCAGTCATTTGGCGTTGATTAGTGCAGCATTCAATTTAGATCGGGCAACGAAAGGGAAGAATTAGGATGTTGATGAAGTGGTAAATGGTGGAAGGGAGATGGTATTTAGATTGATTCTGGAAAATGGCAACTAGACTGTTACGACTTTTACGATGGGGGAGAGAATGGAAAACTTATAGTATGTCATTCAGGCTGGTGTCGAATTTGAACTTCTATTTCGAATTACCACATAATACCCAATTGCTTCCATTTCATTCAATAGGTAATTACCACCTACCTACTCGCAGACATTGAACCTCTAAAAGGTCATGAATGATATTTACATACGGATTTATCGTTACACGCTTTTTCGATTTCTGTACAAGTAGTCAAGTAGTAGACGTCTTTGATGTGTAGCATAACATAAAACCATTCTGGATATACGAAAGGCATTGAATACTCCATGGATCATCGCCTTTGCTTCCTGCATTGGAATTTTGTTTGATGTTATGTGTGTCTTCTACATTTCTGCATCAATTGTTCCTTCCCCCTCCGTTCTAAGAAAGGAAGGACCCTTAAGGCAGCGAGCTCAGACTTAAAACCGTTCACTTTTACATGCACGAACAAATTCATTTCCCAAATCACATCTTTCTCATCTCCATAAGTTTTGATCTTCAATTCGATCAGAAGATTTGAGACCATAAACTTCAATTTCGGATTCAAGCCATCTCAAATATTTGGTAACCTTCGCACTGGTGGGGTACAATCGTGTCGCGACAGATACCATCTCAAGTTCTCATCACCAGAATTGATATGATATTCATGAGCGGCCAGTAAGAAAAGAGGGTAAAGGAAATACAAGGTATCACCAATTCTGCTCTCTGTATACTCTCTCAACAGAGCTAACTTTTGATATAGTTCTCAAAGGTTGTCAAGAATCAAAAGCGACATCGTCGAAATCGTCGTCGTCATCACCATGCCAAGACTTCCAACCAAAAATGATCAGATTCATCTGCTTCGCATGCAACTGGAAGAAGAGCAAAAATCATCTGCTAGTCTCCGTCATACCATCAAGGCCAAGCAAGCTACTATTGAAAGTACTCTTGCGCAGTTAAAGGATGCGAAAGAAAGTCTGATCCAAGCTAAATCTACTTCACCTTTCATGAGAAAACTTCCTGCCGAACTTCGTCTCAAGATCTATAAGCTACTCCTGGTCAATCCAAAGTTGAGTGAAACTGAATCTATTGGCAAGGCTGTCGAATATGGAAAATCTGTCAAGTTTGAACTTACTCCAGCAATCTTGAGTACCTGTAAAGCAATTCACGAGGAAGCGGAACCTATTCTCTACGGCTCCAACACTTTCATCATCGAATGCATTGGTGGTTATGGTCCAGTTGGTTCTCTTCATGTCCCACAATCACCGCTCACCAGATTTACGGATCCTAGCTTGGATGATTTTGATGATAGTGATGCAGAGGATGATTTGGAGCGCACCATGATGGGATACTCTGGAATAGAAACGTCTTTTGATTTTTCCACATTCAGCCCCTTGAAGAAGGTTAAGCGCTGGAGAATACTCACTGGTGCATACAGACCAACTCCAACCAACCCAGTACCAGCAAAGTCTTTCGTTCACTTTTGTCAAGCATTATGTCAAGAAGCTCCAACACAACCACAAAGATCTCTCGAAGTCGTCCTTGCACTTGCGAGAGTCAATAACGGTATTGCTACGATTAGGACTGAGGATACACAATACAAATTTTCGCAAGATCAAATGAACTATCTGCTTCAACCACTGAGGCTTTTGAGAGATATTAGATTGGAGTTGAACATTGCACAATTTAAGACGGACTTACCGCAATCTACCCATTTGTGCGGCGCTGGCCCTGAGTATTACTTTCCTTATAGCGAAGCCCAAACGGTCGAGGCCAATCTCGAGAGATCTATGAATTTGGCATTACCTATCGTTCAAAAATACCAGGCTATTGCGGAGGATCTTTCACCTGTTGAAAAGGTATTCAAGATGTATCAGCGATTAGAGCGATATGTAGTTTCATTCGAAAGATCTGGACATTTTACGAAGGACTTGATCACTTTGCAAAGAGGCCATGAAGCTAGTAGGAGAGAAACTCGTCATTTTGGTTGGCAACTTCCTAGTGCTTCTCTTGGCAACCCTTTCAAATCTCGCTTACCTTCATCGTATCATCCAGTGGAGCTCGCCTTTTCCAGTAAGTCAATCCTTATTCTTAAAGCACGAACTTGCTTCTATGCTCATATCTGATGCAATGTTCATCTGGAAATTGCTGACACTTAGGACAGAAGCCATCATAGCCAAAGATAAGGAGGATGTCACAGAGTTCAAAGCTGCTAGAGCTTCTGTTTTGAAAGAACTAGATCCTCAATACAGAAGAATGGTCGATGCATCTAAGAAGTTGACAGCTTTCGTCGAAAAGGAGAGACTTTCAGGAGTATTTCATGAATGTACTGGTTGTGGTGTATTTCATCAATACGAAGAAGATCCATACGAGAGTAGTCTTGGAGAAGATTTAGATCGCTACATCTATGAACTCGATAAGATTTCCAGTTTATTGAATCGAACTATGCCAGATCATATTCAGATTCAAGTACAGAAAGGAACCACAATGTATGAGGCAGCATACTTTCATTTGGAGAGAGAAAGACTTTTCCGAAAGTTACGTTGGATGCAAAAGCAAGACATTGTTGTAAAGAGTCCTTTACAAATCGCTAAATGGACAAAGCGACTTATTGAAGATATGTGGGAGGACTGTCAACGTATTAGCTGGCATAGAGAGTGTCTTTTTAAGGATGATATTACAGATATTGGTTGTAAAATCAATAAGAAATTGGGACAGGGATTGATGGAACAAGAATTGGAGTGGCTCGAAGGATTTGAGAGTGATGATGAGGAATTTCATGAATTACATTATGGAGATTAATTATTGGGGAGAGATCCGAGATGGAATTTTTGAAGTTGTCAAGGAGTGTTTACACGTGGAGAGAGATACTGGGGAGTAGCTATTGCAAAATTTGCTTATGGGAAATGGAATGGGATACGTAATGTTGTTAGTTAATGGCTGAGCTGAGCATGGCATGTTATGGCGATATTAAAATATGGGAGTATGGAATCTGGCTGACTGGCTCTTCTGGCTCTTAATACTAATTTATTGTAATTGCTACTATTATCACATGTTGATGTATTGTGCTTGTGTGATTTATTTTTTGCCTGATGTTTTTGGAAGAATGGGACATGGGAAGAATTTAAGAAATGGAAGAAATGCTGAGAGAGGAACGGGAGAGAGGGGTTAGAGGAGGCTATTAATTCGTCACCCCCTCCGCACCCCTCTCTTTTCCTTCCCTTCTTTCTTCCCCTCCACTCCACTCCACTCCCTTCTACGAAGCATTTCTTCATACAAATTGCAAAAAGCTCCATCGATACTTAGGTAGTACATTTACCCTTCATTCGCTGTATTACGGATTATACTCTCGCTACACAACACTATTGATATTTATATATCTAGATGAGATAGTGGTAGTTGAGAAACATCCAACTGTTGGGGGGTTGATTATTGAGATGATGGAGAGGATGGGATGGTAAGGGGGGTTGTAGAGGGATTGTGAGAGGGATTTGGGGAGGATATGTACTCTGTAGATTTATATAATGATTGTGAGGGTGGGTGGGTGTTGTGTTTTATAGGTTATGATTACCACTACTGAGAAAGAAAATTGAATGAAATGTTGATTAATAGATAGTTCGTATATACTTGGCAGATAGGTATATTAATATAAACGTTGTATTCATCAGATGATAGGTACCTATGGAAAAGGGAGAGGAGAATTAATTGACGAGTCGAAGTCGGTAGTGTCTAGATGGTTGATGTGAAATCTCTAATCTACATCTCACATTCCGCATCGCAAATCTCATTCCCCTCCCCAAATCATGAAAAATAAACCTATCTATCTAGTACTTACTCTTGAAATTCCCCTCCTGTCCTCCTTTCCATCTTTCCAAACTCGGGCCCTATTCCGATCTGTCTACTCCCTTCCGTACTCCCTGGAGTATCGACACTCCCCTACTCCCCTATAACCATATCAAATAAATGTAAGAGTCTTACAACTTGGAATATAAAACACAACAGAACAGATACACGATACATGGAAGATATAAAATACAAGATAAAAAATACAAGATAAAAAATACGATACACTCTCATTTCCCATCCCCATCTCCATCCTCATTCAAACGAATCAAAAGATAAATAGGAGATCTTCACTTATATATATATATATATATACACACACACACATATACATACATACACACACATACACATATATACACATATATACACAAACACACAAACAAAAGCGAAATAACAAACCTCAAACCTCATATACCAAATTCTAAACCATTATATTCATTCACATGTCCTTTTTTCTTTCCTTTTCTTTTCTTCTTCTCATCCCATCCTATCCCATCCCATCTATCCCCATCTCATCGAATCCAATCATCCCTACTCCCTACTCAATCTGGTGATATACCTCAAGCGGTGAATTTCTGCCCCATCCAATCACGCACCCGACTCTAGAGGAAAATACCAAGCTACCCCTCATCATAGATTCATACCTACATATACATATACACATTGCCAACGACGTACATCATTTACCACCTCCTCCTTTCAAAGGATTCACGTACACACCATCAACTATCGCATCTCATCATATCAATATCCTCATGCTTTAAGTTTTAATTTCTTTCTTTCTTTCATTATGTGCTATGCTATGGGTACAAAACCATGCCGGACATTACAGTACCGACGAGGACGTTGCGTTCCTCTTCAAATTTTAGCCAGTCAGGTTGCCCAACCAAGGGCACCGAGTAGCAAGTGGTATCATTCATCCCATAATTCCTCAAAACATGCTATGCAAAACACCTGTTATGCTGCTATTATTTATTCCACCCAGACGCCATGCTAAGTGTGAAACATTACCCAGATTAATAAATCCCTCCTCCTACGGAAATCGAAGTCGTCGACGACTTGAAATCCATTCCTATCATCGAAAGTTCCCACTCATCATCGTCACCATTCGCAGCGCTGGCGTATTCTTCATATTCGAACCTCGGTAGGACGAAATGATCTTGTATCAAAGATTGTTGTAGACTATAAGCCACGGCAGAGATATTATCAACCTCGACAGTATTCTTGAGAGTCGAATTTGGAAGTTTGGCGACAATTCGCATATTCGATTTCCCCATCGTAAAGTCGGTTACCTCTTCATATGAACTATTCACTGCGATGTATTGTTCAACCTCATCGTTGAAGCGAACACATTTTCTTGAAGAGGTCGATGTAGGGGATGATCTGCCGGAAGAAAGGGAAGGTAGGGAAGATTCCATCGATTCCGATCCAGCCGATGGTGAACGTTTCAATAATACATCGCATATTCCTCGTTGTTTAAGAATCGGCTTTACATTGACGTCTGCGTATGACATTGATCTCGTCAGTTTTGGTCGACAATCCATATCCATTGGAGAAGAAAATAAAGATTTCGAGGAATCTGGCTTATGGAGTGGTCCGTAAAGCCATGTTGTATCATGATCTTTTTCCCTACTATTGCGTTAGCCTTGCGCTGACAAGAAACCCCAAGTTAAAGGTACCTACCAGCCAAATGTTGATGGATCGATTGTTTTCAGGTTGGATCGTTTCTTCGCCCAACCTCTCCAAGATGCATTCTCTAATCTCTTGCTATTTTCATATGCGGTACGATGTGATTGAATGAATTTCCAAGACGCCCATAAATCCTCTTCTGGCCAGTCGTGTGCGAGGTAATCTACATGATGTGATGGTATAACTCGAACACCCAAGTCATCCACGGTTTCGGTGATATCGCAAGGCTCAGTGGATTCCGGTAGCTCTGAAAGTTCGGATGCTGGCGATTGATCTGAAGGAGAGAGGGTTGTTGGAGTACTGCATACTGATATATCATCTTCGAGGTATGTCGGTTGTAGTGTTGGAGATTGAAGGTAGTAGTCGACTTGAGCGTCATATTCCTCCTTTGGAACCTGATCCTCGTTGTTGTTATTCCATTGTATATCGTCATACCTTGGAAATTCGAATTCATCATCCTCGGCATCGTCCATACAGATAACTTTCAAGGCTGATATCTCGGGTTGACGAATGATTCGCGGCGCAACATCGACCAAATCCGTTCGATCCACCCACTCAAAATATTCATCTTCTCTGGAGAGATCCATTATTTTTTTGGTTGATAGTTATTGAATTGATAGAGGGAATCCAAGTTCGGTGGGAACATTAAAAGATAAGTTGATTCAAAATTGTGGTCGTGTGAGGGAAAATATATGTAAAAACTCCTTTGTGAAATTTGATTGATGAGTGAGAGTTGGTACGGTATTGATTGGTATGATGATACCTACTAACACGCACACTAACAAAATCCGTTGGGGTAGCTTAACGGTTTTTCGAGCTTTTTGATACAATCCCAACGTCAAAAAAATCCCCAGACAAAAATCAAATTCGCATCGCAAACATGGTATGATATGTGGATGGTTCTGGTGTGAAAGAATTGGCAAAATGTTTTGATGGGTATAAAAGTTCTTTCGAATCTGTTTTATAACTTTTCCTGATTAGCATTAACTAAAACGGATAACTAGTGAAATTGAAGTGTGAAGAAATTGTTGAGATTCTGGGGTAAAGTCATGCAAGGAAGTGGATGAGGGTGGATGACGGATGGCGGATGATGGTGATTGATGGTGGATTTCTCGGGATAATGCTGTGACTATGATACATATATGAATAAAAGGAGGACGGCTTACTTGTGTTATTGTGGTGATTGTGTGGTGATTGTGTGGTATTTGTGGTATTTGTGGTATTTGTGGTATTTGTGGTCTTTGTGGTATTTGTGGTCTTGTGTGGTCTTGTGTGGTCTTGTGTGGTATGTGTGTGTGGTATGTGTGTGTGGCATGTATGGATGTATGGATATGGATATGAATATGGATCATGGAAGGAAGTAAAATATCCAGCGGACAACGGATGGTGGACACACTTTATGGATACTAACAAGCCCACGTCCCAGTCTAAGCCCAAGCCATTGATGATAGTAATAAAGAATTATGGATTATAGATTAAAGATTATGGCTTGTATGGATAATAGTCCGATCTTATATATATACTCCGTACAGAGCGTGCAAGAGAGAAAGAGAGCGTACAGACAAAATCCCGAGCGGATTATGAAAATAAGAATAAAGGTAATTTAGATATTATTTTAGTTCTTACTTAAATTCCGTCATACCATATATTATACTCATTACTACTTCGTACTTTTAATACATACAAGCAAGCAAGCAAGCATTAAGATCCTACCTTGAACAATCAAACCTTCCAAAAGTATTCTAGCCGAGCCACCGAGCCTTATGCTAATGAGCAATCATGTGCCAAGTATACCTAGTAGTAGATAGGTATGATACAATCGATATCACATCAATGTTGTAAGATTACATTTTTGATCGTCCGTCCTGAACTTGTGCGGAGAGTGCTGAGATCTAGTTTGTTTGATCTAGATGGGTTTGATTATATCACATTTCTGAGGACTAAAGAGAGAAAAAAGAAGTAAAACAGAAATTAAATAAATAGAAAAGATGTTTTATTGATTTGAGTGCATTTGATTGCATTTGATTACCGCTTGGGCCGTTACATTCCTCGATGAATTGATATGGTTGTGAGATTAGAGGGAGGATAGATCTATATTTTGTGGTTGGTGATAGATAGATAGTCTGATGGTTTTGTTCTTAGGTAGGTTGGTAGGTATGGACGGTGTCTATGTATGGAGGTAAATGAAGGTATATGTCCGGATGTGGAAGAGATGGAGAGATTATTACTAGGTAGAGGGAGATTACTCGAGGTGCTAGGTATGTATGTATGTATGTATAAATTCTTTCTATTCATTCATTCATTTATTTATTCATACGTTTATTCATGTTCATACCAGATACTAGATACTAGATACTCAATACTTAATACTAAATACTAGATAAAATAAAATAAAATCACAAGGTAAACCAAAATATGAAAAACCAAATTATCTGCAGAGTAGTACTCAACCTGCTAGATAGTCACTTCACACACTTACCGCCCTACCGCACCCGGGGGGGATCGCGAATGTTTCCTTCCTGTCCCTAATGGTCGAGGTAGTGATCTTCACTGCGCTGTCAAAGCATACGTCGGTACGTGATATTTTATTCATCTAAATTAAGTTGTGAAGATCTTTTTGGTGTGGGTTTGGGGTATGATTATTCGAGCTACTGTATTCCACGGACTTTTCGGGTGGTTTATTTGTGGTTTGTTTTTACATCATTGGGAATGCGGATTCGGTCTCTAGATCTATCTGGGAGGTAGGTAGTTCCTCTTTTCTTGGGATAGACGGATCGAACGGTACCGGTATTATACATCCATCTAGTACAGAGATGGAGGTACTTTTGAGGACGGAAGCACGAAGAGATGGAAAAAGGGAATACGGACGGTATGATTATGTGATACACGTCTCAAACATACAAGACCCTTTTCTAGTTGTGATTCATGAGATCTGATCCAAGGCGAGGAACGACTGGCGTGAATGTGTCTCGAGATGTGGTTCTAGAATTGCGCGTAAGGTCATATGGATTCTTTCTTCATCTGAGCCATGTCTCCATTGCTATTTGCTGTGCGCTTCAATTCGATTCGTCAATGTGGTCAATGTCCTTCCGCGTTCCTCTTTCCATCCACTAGAACTAGATCTGGATGAGAATGAGGCGAAACGTTATGAAGAGCTGGAGTAACTTGGGACATCGTATATCTTCCTCCTCTCCTCCACGTGATCGGAACTCGGATACCGGACTTCCCATTCCCAGGACATTTTCCGTATTCTGCCCCTATATCACGAGATTGGACACTTGATAGTATGTAACGTTGAATACGTGAAGTCATAGTGGGTGGATAAACTTTGGGAATGACATTATTACATTCATTACATTCTGCGGTCGACCAATATCAAGATTTGCTATATTTACTATGTTTGGTATGGTAACTATATGGTCGATTTCGATAATATAAAATGTACTCGAGTACTCGAGTAAGATTATCTGCAAAGCACTTCTTACTCTGTAGGTGCTTAGATTTTCGGGGACCGCACTTCCCCATATATGCATATCGGACCCCCGCTTTTCGGTGTTGGGAATCTTGGAATGCTGGGGTGGTGTAATGGAAGAGTGGCTTGGTGGATGGAATGAATGAATGGAATGAATGGATGGACATGGATGGAATGAATGGATGGACATGGATTCTAGGAATGAATGGATGGACATGGATTCTAGGGAGATGGGGATGATGTGAAGGCGCCCCACGTTACACGTTACGAGCATGGAGGTGGGAGCCGCGGTTATGATGAGGTAGAGGAGAGACAGATGGACAACTACATGGCTCGAGAAACAACTAGCTAGATAGACAATGATACAGTTAGTTGGATACATACCTACGACAACGATACACCTCCACAGCGAGCCAAGAATCCCAAATCTAACAAATACACCATCTTATACACCTCAGAGATCATCTTACAAAACTCATTAATTGAGAAACACATATCAACACCCACACATACACACACACAACAATACAAAAACTACAATCGATATACCAAGCATACTATGTGTGTCATTGCAATAGGTAGTGTACTACTGTAGTATACATGGAAGGTTACTTAGCCTGGAAGAAGGTCTTAGGTGGAGTTCAGCTGGGGATTAGCATTGATGAGATGACATGTATGCACGGTATGATACGTGATACCGAGTAAAGGAGATCGATCGCGAGACTTGTGATTGTTGTTTTGCTTTTGGATTTGGACTTTGTTTTTTGGTGATGAGGTGCTGGGTGGGTTAGTTGCATGAGTAGGTAGGTGGGTGGAGTGTGTAGATTACATAGGGTATAGTTAGTATAGCATAGTATGATATGGTATAATACAGCATAATATAATATGATACCTAGCTAGCACAAAGTATATAACCTGGAGTACACAATCTGGAGTCTGGAATCTGGAGTAAGGAAACTCAGAGACGTGGCTATCAAACATACATGAAGATTTACCGACATCTCGACATAAACACCCAGTAAGTAACCAAGTAAGGTTATGCAAATCAGCAAAAGAACCTACACGGAGTCAAGGACTCAAACCAAGTGTCAGTCCAAGCAGACTTGACACCGGGAGAAACAAAATGAAGAAGACGAAACAAAGTTTCAATGAGGGAGAAGTGTGGTATCAGGTGTCAGTCAGGTGTGTGAGATCTTGGGTATTAGGTACTAGGGGCTAGGTATGGATATGGAAATGGAAACGCACTGGATCCGTGAAATGGATGCTCGCACTCTTGGGCCTGGGCAGTGGAAAGATTTTGCTGGGGGGATGCGAGGATGGGATTTCATGGCTGTGAAAGTTTCGAGAAAGGGACTGTGCTGTGTTTGGTATTGGGATGTTTTCATAGCGGTAGTTGGGGTGTGGATGAGTTATGTTATACCGCCTTTGTTAGCTAGGATTAGTTTCTATACTGTGGTTTATGGAATAAGTTATATCACATCGCTTTTTTTTGCTGGTAGAATAAGCTTTTTTTTCTCAATTCTTATTTATTCTATATATATATATGAATAATAAATTATTCTTTATAAAATACAAAGATATTAATGTTTTTATAAACCCTATAAAATGGCGGTATGATATAACTTATTCCATGTGTAACTATAGTAGGCAGAATGATTCGATTGCTGGCAAAACAAAAGCGGTGTAACATAACTTATTCCGTATAAGTCGGTATGGTATGTAAGGGGTAACTTCTTCAAAATTACATCGATCTCTATCTCTATATATCTCGAATATTCTCAAGATGGAACTATATGAATCATTAATATCATTATTCCTCCTATTCCTCCTCTCCTTCCTCCATTATCGAAAAACTCTAAATAGAAATAACTTCCTCTATTGTTTCTACAACTAAAGCCCAGATGTCTACCTTCCTAAGCATAGTACAGAAATCAGTGATCGACTCTATATGACAAGTTACCAAATAAGTAGCGTGTATACCTAAACCATCAGTGCAATTAGTCCCAGAATCCGATATACTTTCTCACCTGCGCCAACGCTCGATCTTCACGAAATTTTAAAATGTCGTCTCTTTTGGTCTTTGTATGTATGTAAATTATGGGATAGTTGCACTATGATCTGCGACTATAGCAGCTACTAGATGTGCGCTCATCGAATTATCGAGGTTGGTTCTGAGGGAGGGATGTAATCTTACTTTGGCTTACGTGAATGGATGGTCTGGTCGGGTCTGGTGCTGGTGTTGTCTTGTCTTGTTGAGCAGGCAAGAGTCTGGCTGGTGAGATAGATAGCTAGATAGCTATTGTCTACAGACAGAGTAATATAGTAAAAATGAATCTGACAAGTTCGGAAAGCTAAACAGGACGAGACGAGACGACGAGACAAGGCTTGCAGGTTTTGAACAAGCTCTTCACTCACTCCCGGGTAAGAATTCAATCTCATCTGCCAACTCAAAGCTTAAGTTTTCTTGGGGGGACAGACTCCAAGTTTGCGAATGGTAACCTTACTAAGAAGAATACAGTCTCGTGTGAGTTGGATACATCTAACTATCCGTTTCCATCAGAGAAAGGTCTTACATCTGGGATTTGATGATCCACTATTAATTCATACTATTGATGCTTATTTGAGACGAAATAAGAATGAATAGCTTTCTCATTTAGCTTTTAGTTTTGAGAAAATGATAATTTTTTAATCATCGAGGAGTGATTGGATCTTGTTGATGTAATTAGATGTTGGTATGGATGGTGATGGGTGCCGCTTGCTAATTGTTCATCTCTTGCGATGTGATTGTATGAACGACCTTTTTCTTGTTGCTTATTGCTTATT